TTGTATACATAGGCCACAGCCACTTCTCGCATAGGCTGCCCGTCACGTGTTGGGAGAATCCCTTTGTGGCCGGCCGGGACGGCAGCCCTGAGCTGGTAGTGTTCAAGTACATGCAGTGGTTCCGCGACTCCAGCTTAGAGCAGCGTTTGCCGGAGCTTCGAGGCAAGAAGCTTGCGTGCGACTGCGGGGCCTCAGATTTGTGTCATGGTGATTTCCTTCTGGGACTCATGATGCCGAGCACAGGCGCATCCAGGCTTGTGAAGAAGCCTGAGCACGTCAGGCGCATCCTTCTCGCAGCGGTAGCAGGTCTGCAGATCCCCGGGAGTGTCGCCTACCCCGTCAGTCAGTCATCCATAGTCTCTGCTGCTCAATCCTTAATTCAGGGTAGTTCGCGCCTTTCCTTGCGCTGGCCATACATTGAGGATCTCGTCAACTCACCGCACTTTACAGCTTTTGGTGACTGGCTGCGTGAGCGCGGGCTGCCTGATGCCGGCGTGCTTGGCCCTCGAGCCCTGGGCTCGGCATGTGTAATGGCCCAGCGAGCGAGTGCGGCGGACCAAGGTGCTGCTGCCAACAAGCGCCATGCCCTACCGCCCGTCGTGCCGTACGGACAGACCGCGGACAGCCATTTTCAAGGCGCCCTCGATGTCCAGCTACACGGGTGCCCTCTCGATTGGGAAGCAGTAGTGGACCACGATGTGCGGTTCGCAGCAGCTAGCATGGCCTCTGACCTCGCGCGTCTGCGGCGTACCAGAGCAGATGCCATGGAACTCTTGAAGGAGCTTGGCAGGCGGCTTTGGCCTGTGTCGCAGTGCTTGCATGCTGTGCAGCATCCGGACGTGCATTCCGTCAATCCGCGTGTGCACCTTGCATTGTTTGCAGTGTGTGTCGTGCTCCTGGCCTGGCAGGACACGTCCTTTGTTCAAGGGCTGTTGCACGGCTTCCCGGCTGTCGGCTACCAGGAGCCTTGCGGGGTGTGGCAAAGCAAGCCCGCGCGTTTCTGCACCTTGCAGGATGCCCTGAGTGAGGGCAGACGTGATGCCGAAGCCATTCTGTCCTCTCTGCGGCCGTCAGAAGACGACCAAGTTGTGTGGGAAGCTGGGGAGAAGGACGAGAAGGCAGGGTTCTGTCACCCGAGCGTGGGGTGGCAGGGGCTGACTGCTGGGCCGCTGTTTCGCGTGATTCGTCGCTTTGTTGTCACCCAGGCCAGCGGTAAGAAGCGTGTCATTGATGATGCTCTGGCTGGCAGGCAGAGCGAGTTCAGTAGTGATGCCAACAAGCTCCAGTTCTGCTCAGCTATTCAGCCGTGCCTTCATGCGCAAGCCCTTGCAGCAGAGTTGGTTCGCCAAGGAAGGAGTTGTTCCACGTGGCCTGATACCCTGGTCACAGCAGGGGAAGACCTGCCTGATGCATATCGCAAGATTCCAATGCACCCGGACCACGCCTGGGCATGTGTTGTGGCTTACCACGACTGTCAGGCTGGGGGCCCACGTTTTAGGCGATATAAGGGCATGCTGTTCGGGTTGCCGCTTGCAGTTTCCGCGTTCAATAGGCTCCCCATGTTTCTGCAGTGTGTGTGCAGGAGACTGCTCCGTGCATTGGTGTCAATGTATTTTGACGACTTGACACTGCAGGATTGGCGCAGCCTCGCCGCCGAGACACAGGGGCAAGTGGAAGATCTGTTTGAGTTATTCGGGTTCCCTTTCTCGACCGAAAAGCGGCAGGAGCCGGCGGCCACCGGAGACTTCCTCGGGCTCATGCATGATTTTTCTCAACTGCAGCAGGGCACCATCCGGGTCTGGGTGCGTGAGAGGTTAGTTGAAAAAATCGGAGATATCGTCCGTGAAGCCCAGGAAACCGACACCCTCAAGCCAGGGCTAGCCAGCAAGTTGTACGGGTGTGTTACCTTTCTCGATCAAGGTGTGTTTGGGCGGGTAGCCCGCGCCGGCCTCACTGCTATAAAGGACCGGCAGTATGCTTCTCGGGGAAATGCTCGGCTCACTGACGAGCTGCGTACGGCCTTTGACACCATCCAAGCTGTGCTTGACATGCGGCCTGAGCGTCTTGTCCGCGTTCTTCCCCAGTTGGGTAGAAGAGTCTTGGCGGCCAGTGATGCTGCCCAGGATGCATGCCGGATTGGATCCGGAGGGTTCCTTGTTGTTACTCCCAGCCAAGAAAGGCTAGGCGCAGTCGTCCCTGTTGATGATGCCGTGTTCCATCTCTGGGACGAGCAAGAAACGAAAATCGCCCAGTTAGAGCTGCTTATGGTGTTGCAAGGGCTCCTTACGTTCCCTGAAGAGTTTCAAGGTACCTCCGGGGTGTGGTATGTCGACAATATAGCAGCCTTGATGGCATTGGTCCGGGGCAGGAGCGATAGCCCAGAACTTGACCACATGGCACAAACCGTTCACATTCTCTTGATCCAATTGCGGTGCTATCTCTATTTCGAGTGGGTGCCCAGCGGCAGCAACTGGGCCGATGGCATCTCGCGAGATGGCTTTGAGGACCGATGGTGGAGGCGCCACAGGTTCAAGGTTCACTCCAGTGCAGTTCCCGTCTTCCTTTGGCGGTTTCCTCTTGCAGTGCGCTCTGCTATTTTCAGCTTCTTGGCGTAGAACGCGCCTTGCTGGCAGCGGATCCCACCCAAGATGTGGATGAGTAATATCATTTGCTACACCCCAGAGCGAGTTAGGGGCGAGGTATGCTGCAGAAAGAGCCACTGTTTGCGTTCCCTGGTTATAGATTAGGGATAGTGCGTTGGGGTGACCAGCGCCAGCGGGCGCAGGTGTCGAAGTGCTTTGGGAGGTGTGTATCCCATGTGCCATGAGTGTTCGCTGAGTATACAGCGCGCCGCCGGGCGGCCCCTGTGTGTTCAGGGACCACCAACGCACTATGGGCGAGTAGCTCATGGAACGAGTGATTGCTGAGTTGCGAGCCTTAAGGAAACACTGAGCGTGAGTGCATAGAACGTGCTACCGTTTTGTGCTTCGGGCAGGCTAGGTGAACGGTGTTCGTTCTTGCGCTCCACCTCAGTCGTACTTCACCACCTAGAATAGCCATGCGTTGCGTGTTGTGGCTCAAGGCCAAAATGGTGTTCTGGTTTGTTGACCTCAATGTGTGAGGTGTACCCAGAGTTGCTGGGTGTATCTTTCTTCCCACCCTCCTCTCCCTATATCTAGATTCCCGATCCGATCTTAGTCTTACTCACTGGGTGAGCGACTGCCCTCCGCCTTCGCGGCGGTTGTGGTAGAGGCACTGTGTGCCGCTTTGGCGTATGGGAGGTGTGTATCCCATGTGCCATGAGTGTTCGCTGAGTATACAGCGCGCCGCCGGGCGGCCCCTGTGTGTTCAGGGACCACCAACGCACTATGGGCGAGTAGCTCATGGAACGAGTGATTGCTGAGTTGCGAGCCTTAAGGAAACACTGAGCGTGAGTGCATAGAACGTAATAGTAGCAGTAGTAGTAGTAGTAGTAGTAGTAGTAGTAGTAGTAGTAGTAGTAGTAGTAGTAGTAGTAGTAGTAGTAGTAGTAGTAGTAGTAGTAGTAGTAGTAGTAGTAGTAGTAGTAGTAGTAGTAGTAGTAGTAGTAGTAGTAGTAGTAGTAGTAGTAGTAGTAGTAGTAGTAGTAGTAGTAGTAGTACTAGTAGTACTAGTAGTACTAGTAGTAGTACTAGTAGTACTAGTAGTACTAGTAGTACTAGTAGTACTAGTAGTACTAGTAGTACTAGTAGTACTAGTAGTACTAGTAGTAGTAGTACTAGTAGTACTAGTAGTACTAGTAGTACTAGTAGTACTAGTAGTACTAGTAGTACTAGTAGTAGTAGTAGTAGTAGTAGTAGTAGTAGTAGTAGTAGTAGTGGTAGTGGTAGTGGTAGTGGTAGTGGTAGTGGTAGTGACTGGTAGTGGTAGTGGTAGTGGTAGTGGTAGTGGTAGTGGTAGTGGTAGTGGTAGTAGCAGCAGCAGCAGCAATAGGAGTTGTTGTTCTGGTTGCGGTAGTGGTAGCGGTAGTGTAGGGATAGTAATACGGTTGTGGTGGTGGTATTGGTTGTTGTTGGTTGTGGTGGTGTTTTTGTTTCCCTTGGCTTCTTCTTTCGGCGTCGGGATGGTTGTTGTTGACTGGACCACGGAGCTTTGAGGAATAGTATTGGTAATGCAGCACCCCAGAGTATGGCTTTAGAGAGACAGCCGCCAAACGAGGTGAGGGCAGCGCGAGGACAAAATAACCCTCACCCTTGCTAAATCGAAATCGAGCAAGAACGACATGCAGAAGAAAGGGTTGGACTCTTGAGCTCTCAACCTCACTCTTGATTATCTCTCGTCCGAGGAAAGCTCTGCGTGACGCTGCCCGGCGTGGGGCGGAGAAGACGTCTGGATCCTACTGTAGGTGCCGTAATAGTTGCCTACATGGCCTAAACTTGTATGGTGCCTCAAGATAAATATCATATAACTATAACAGGCTCAAGAATCCTTATTCAAATTACTAAGGCCCCTGTATTACATGCTGGCCTTGAGCAATGAAAGGCTGGCAGGATGTAGCAGGTCTTCACCTCATCGTGCTGATACTTCACGCAGTCCTTACAAGGCACCAGACCATCTACCTTGTAGGACAACCCTAAACCCTGAATTCTAAAACTCTGACACTACTAAGCCCTGAAATGCTGGACCCACATCCGACAAGCCAGATTTTGTGTCTCCTTTACTGCTTAGTATAGGAGAGAGCCCAAATTATGAACAGCTTTGGGCACTGTTGGCATCGGCTCACCCAGTGATGAGCGTGGGTGATTTAGTGCTTATGGGGCTTTCGGTCTTTGTTGTGTTTCGTGTGATCAGGCTTTGAGGGCTCACGGCCTACGAGCATTAGCTACAGCAGCTAAGTCTCAGAGGCTGGGAATCCTGAGAGAGCTCTCGCCCGTTTGCTTCACCGGTGTTCCGTCGGCTCAGCTGCACTCGCAGATTGTCACAGCAGTTTGGCAAACTCTTCTTGTCACTCCCGTTCCAGGATGCAATTTCGGTTCTTTCTCCTCTTGCCAGTGGCGCTGGCTGTCCGGGATCACGAGGCGGACTTGGATCAGCTCTCGCTGGATGAGTCGCTAGAGGAGCCAAAGTTGGACAGGATGACTTCGACTGTTATGAAGTTCTTCAACCACGAGGCGCCCGTCACGATCACTTTCGATGACGAGCCCCACATCAACATCGTCCAGCGCTTCAACACCACTTGGACGGCCGTTCCGATGACCCAGAACAAAGGTGATCTCGTCATCGCAGGGGGGGTCTACAACATCGTCAAGCTACTTCGGTCCCGGAATCTACCCATTTCTTGCCCAGTCGTTTGGGCGCAACAAAATTGGACGGCCTACATGTCCGTCACGCACCCGGCACAGAAGGCTGGCCAAGTGCTAGCCGGCATGGTGACCAAGGGACTTATCGACGTGGCGAACATTGGTCACCTGAAGGACGTCTTGGGAAAGATGATTGGCATCCCAGGGTTCCAGTATCCAGCGAGCGCCATCAGCGCCACCACGAAAATCGCAGGGGTGGCGGCCAGCGAGGTGTCGGCAGGGTTGGGCAACCGCAGCACCATGCTGCAAGAAGAGGCCCTGCCCACACTGGCGTCAGCAACCTTGGCAAACGACACTGCCGGACAGAACAGTACCTAGGTTTATCAGCAGTTGTTAGAGTTGCACGGGGTTATATAGTAGAATGTAGAAGTAATGCGGCTCCTTAGTGAAAGCAATTCAGCCTAAGATCCGTCACAAGAGCACAGGTACATTCAACCAGGTTGTCGATGCGATCTACGCCGCGAAGCTGGCGCTGATGAGGTTGAAGGACTCGCCCTCATCCCCAAATTCCAAATCCAAACCGTAGACCTAGCTCAGACCCTGAACCGCTGATCCTGCCTAATCCTGAAACTTAGACGGGTGTAGCTGCAGTTTCAGTTTGCAGGACACGAAGCGAGTAGTGCGCCTCATGCTTGGGCCGCACTACACAGAGAAGGGAGCCTACGACCTCCACATGTGGTGCCCGGGCTTTTGTCCCAGGATCTCACTTCAAGTTATGTCGAAGAATGTGCAGTTAACAATGAAGAGAACACTGCCTCAAAGAAGCAGGGAGATAGGCCCAATGGTACAGTGAATTCCAGCCCCGTCTCATTACAAGGCACATCACGATGCAACATCAGGCAATTTAATTTAATGCCTCGTGCATTCACCCCTTCAAGGGTTTGCAAATTGAAATCGCCCCGATCACAGCTCAATCACCTTACGAATGAGACATTTTCAGTAGTCCTGAGTCTTTGGCCGGAGTGTATCCGAATTACAATTACAAACTATGCGTTTGCCAGCATGTCTTGATGGCTTTCATGCCAGGTCAGACCTCAGGGACAGACTCAACCACCCCGAAGTTTGTTAGACTCATCACATCCATTCACATCTCGTCAAGAGAACACACACTCACGCAGTCACCGTGATCGGAGTCCCGTTTTCAGTGTACTCAGCCGTGCAGGAGGCAAAACTGCCCTTAAAGAAAGTATTGTGGGTTCGATCAATGAATGGGGAAACTGCTATCTCAAGGACTTCGCTCTACGTTAGAGTCATAGGGAAAGTTAGGGGGAGAGAGTGAGAGAGAGAGAGAGAGAGAACACAACAAGAAGCAGAGACAAAGAGAGAGTGAGCAAGAGTAAGCTTGTTGATGCAGAATCCGGGTACGGTTCTCTCCGGATGTCTTTGCCAATAACCGAGGTGCATGCACCCCGATCCGAAGAAGAGTCCCTATGTCTACATCCCGAATCCGAATGGGCCGATCCCGTTGAAGACGCACCTCTTGGCCGGTTACATCATCGCGCTCTCATGAGAATCTTGCTGCATTATAGCCTATAGTACTATGGGATAAAGTCTTCTACTCGCCGCATTGCAGCCTTATCGACATATCGTTCTATAGTATATAGGGCTGAAGGTGGTGAAACAACTCTGAGGGAGCCGACAAGGGAAGCTTCTGGAAGCAACACAGCTCAAGTCATCCGAGGCATCCTGCCGTCTCCGAGGAGTATTTATCCCTGAATGATGGCGGGTTGAAGCATTGCGTTGCTACGAAGAGCATCAGCATGCATCAGCTTTCCTGATCCAGGTTTCGGGGAATGCAAGTCGCTGCGCACTGTCGCCCGCTTGTATAGATGATCGCCAAATTGACAAAATAGCCAGCTGCACACACAGCCATCTATGCAACGCAGTCTGCCCCCGACGAATGCGGATCCCAGAGTTCAACTTAACAAGGGTTCGTTTGACAAGCGGGGTGAAGGCTGAAACTACTCGGTGGACCACCACGGCGGGTCCAACATCCGAGGCCTGTAGCATCGCTTGGAGTGCACAAATCCATCTGGTGTTCCTAAGAAGCTCCCTATATCAACCTTCAGAACCCACTAGACTCACTAGACCCTAGAAACCCCCATGGATGAAAGCGTCTCTGGAACATGATTCAATTCAATGATGCGCTTCAGCTCAGCTCTAAGGATTAGCCAGATGCCGGAATTCAATCACTGGTTACTGCAGTTACGTGCGATATGGTTGGTGAGTTTACAGTTTAGGGAACCTTTTGATACAGTTTGGGGTCAGGAAAATTAGTCCACGGCGGGAATGGGAAGGCTTATGGGCGGATGGGGTCCGGGCCGACTTCCTGTTGGTGCACAGAATTTGACGGTTTTGGCGGGTTAAGGGCAACATGCCGCTCCCGCGAGATTATACTAACGATTTTTGGCTAACAGCTCAGGTTTGGGGTTCGAGCTGCTTTCGTTTATGGGCTTCGTAAGAATGCAAACACCAAGTGGATGGGTCGGGGCAGCAATACATGCAAAAGTCTGCAAGCCAGCCCTCTACACTGAACTCTACCTATAGTCTCCATTGTAGTTCCTTTTTTTGGTTTAACCATTTCTATATTAGGGATCCTAAAAGGTAACCCCAAAAAGGAACTACAATGGAGACTATAGGTACACCTGAATAGCTGAAAGCTCTTAAAGTCGGGAAACGAAAAATCCGAAAAATGCAGTCTTACCGTCCCAACTCTCTCAAAGCCCACCCCACCCTTACCCCCAATGGCCCATTCCTCCCGTAATTCTCAGCCCGACCCAGCCCTAAACCCTATACCCCTAAACCCCCAAACCCTAACGCAAAAAGTGAGCCAATGCCAGGGCCCTTGAGGCTTTGCAGTACTGGTGGCTCGAGGCAATGGTTCTTTGGTAGATTTTTTGTGTTTAGGGCCTTCGTTGTTTCTTGAGAGTTCCCCGAGTCGGAGTTTGTGTTCGCTTTCGATTCGAGCCGAGAGTTTCGCGCAAGGTTTGGGCCGATGGAGCAGGGATTGACTTGGCCTCTTTCGTTTAGGGTTTAGGGCTTTAGGGGTTTAGGGTTTGATGCAAAAAGGGTTTAGGATTGGTTGGCGGGGGGAATGATCGCATGCACCAGGATTTGTCGAGGGCAGTGTCTCAAGAGGGTAAAGATGGGCTTGGACGCTGGTCCACTACAGTTGTCCCTGTTATCCGGACTAGTACGGCTGATGGACAAAATCCTGCATGACCCTAAGGACTCTAAACTATGGGAACTATGGCATATTCCTTATAACTTATAAAGGGTAAAGCAGGATTTTGTCCATCAGCAGTACCACCACTTGCAGTTTCATGTGCGAGACTGTGCAGTCGGGCCGGTTCCTGGTGAGAGTCCCAGACTTGTTCGATATTGCGGAACCTCGCCACTCCGCTCTTATGCGACGGCGACTACGACGGAGACGACTGCCACTGCGATCGCGACTACTATCACGACGACGACTACTACCACTGCTACTACTACTACTACTACTACTACTACTACTACTACTACTACTACTACTACTACTACTACTACTACTACTACTAACACTACCACTACCATTACCACTGCCACCACGACCACGGCCCCGACCACTACCACTGACTACTACTATGAGTACAGCAACAACAACAACAACAACTACTACTATTACTACTACTGCCACCCCTACTTTTGCTCCTACTCCTACTCCTACTCCTCCTACTCCTACTGCTACTCCTACTCCTCCTACTACTTCTTCTTCTACTGCTACTACTCCTACTCCTACTATTCCTGCTACTGCTACTGCTACTGCTACTGCTACTGCTACTGCTACTGCTACTGCTGCCCTTGCTCCTGCTACTGCTACCTCCTACTTATGCTGCTGCTCCTCCGGCTCCTGCTCCTACTCGTGCAGTTGCCGGTGTTGTTGTTGCTGTTGCTACAATCACAACCACATCCACAGCGGTGACCACGACAACGACAACGACAGCAGCAGCAACAACAACAACAATTGTCACTAGAGTAACAGATGTAACAGCGGCAGCAGCAGCCGGCCACAGCAGTGCAATTGCAACTGCAGCAGCCGCAGAGCGGCAAAAACATAACAGTGAGTGTCGTGTTGTTTGAAGTTTGACTACCACTGCCAGAGCTGTCAGAAAATTGACATGTTCGCTACGATTTCCAGGCCCAGCGTGCGTGGGGTGTCCTGACGCCAGAGCTGGTGCAGAGGCTCGACAGCTTTGGCGGGACCCCCTTTGCTTGACTCCATGTTCCAGTCGGGGCAAGCTGCGGTGCTAGTGTAGAGGTTGTGTACAGCGCATATAATTGCTGTTCACCTGCTACCCCCCATGGGAGGTTTAGGCTCCTATGACCTTCACTGAGCGAGTATGGATTGTTCGAGGTGGTGACACCTCAATCCAGTTGGATGACGATCGCTTCAGGTCCTCTCCATGTTTCCCAGACTACAAACCTCAGGGACCTTCTAACGAGCCTATACCCTAACCATGACTGGAGGGTGTTACGTCCAAGAAAGATAGGCAGGCTTGCCACTTTGTTCCTTACATTGCCTTAGCAAGTGAGTGGGGGATATAGCACCATTTTGCATCGGAACAAAAAGAGAACGCTGTAAGACTTACGCCCAAAGCAAAGTCGGATGGATGACAGCTGCGGTTAGCTAAGCCCTATGAAGCTTCGAGGCTGTGAACGCCTTGCAAAACTCTCGGAAGCCATCTGCGATACAAGCCCTGCAGCCCTGAACCTAATCCTCACAATCCGCAGTCCAAACGCCTTCGGGCTGCATTTATAGGGCTATGGGATTGAGGTTTTGTTCTTGACGGAACCGTTACGTTACAAACTTCACGTTGCACTTCGGGTGTCCGATCCCTGTAATATATGGTCTGGTCGCTGCGACGAAGCTACTAAATTCCCAAACTCTGTTCTAGATATACAGGCAACCATGCTATAGAGCCGTGATCTTTTCTCATTGGTAAAACAGTTCTCCACTAGTCCTTGTCTGCTTCAAGATGGCACGACACCTCCGAACCTTCTTCCAATTGTTGAGCATGCTTACCCAGAGGCTCCAGAGTAGTTCCTTTCTGGGGTTACCTTATGGGATTCTAAATATGAACCCAGAAAGGAGCTACTATGGAGCCTGTGGGTAGTGCCTGTCTTGCTGGTTTCGCCTTTCCAAGAGAGGCCATTTGCTGCGATGTTGGCCGTCCTCGCAGAGGGCCACAGCAAGGCCCTGGAACGCCCAACAAGACAACGAAAGGTTGAGGGCTCGCTGGGTAGAGAACACCTGGGTTTGTTGCTGGTGTATGAGCGTGATGACAGGTTTGGTGTCTAGGGTTGGCCTGAAGTAAGATCTTGAAACCAAGCATCAGGGTACAGGGCCGTACCGGAAACTTGATCCTACACCAACTCCTTCTGGCGCACGGGTTCCATACATAGGGACCCCAAAAAGCACATAAGCATAAGCATTTTAGAGGGATATCCGTACCTTATTGGCCTTCATTACAAGGGGCTCTATATGGGATATCCCTATCCTAATTTTTGCTTATGTGCTTTCTTTGGGCCCTAATACAGCTAGGTTTGCCGATGCTAGTTTACCAAGATCTGCAGCCTAGTCGTTTGTTTGCATACGCTTGTTAAGAGGCCATGCTGCTCCTGAGCATGCCACCCATGCAGCAGGCCTCTGCGGCTAGTGCTCCACAACGACATTCGGTTTCCAGTATTCCTACCTAACAAATCATACAGACACGCAGCATGGCCGAAAGTCAGGTGAGCATCCATGTGCAACCGAAGATGATCTTTGTACTGTCGAGTCGCAGAAGCCTCCGTGAAACCTGGATAGCACAAAGGAGCAGGACCCGACCGACAAAACCTGTTTCGAAGTATACGGCCCGCGTGAACAAAGCAAGAAAGTGTTGGCAGGAGAGCGTTTGGGAGCGCAACAAGGCCACTATTGCTGTTACTACGACTACGACGACGACTACTAGTACTCCTACTACTAGCAGCACTGCCACTAAGACTACCACCACCACCACGACTACGAATATCCTCCTACTACGACCACCACTACTACTACTACTACTACTACTACTACTACTACTACTACTACTACTACTACTACCACGTACTACTACGACTACTACTACTACTACTACTACTACTACTACTACTACTACTACTACTACTACTACTACTACTACTTCTTGTACTACTACTACTACTACTACTACTACTACTACTACTACTACTACTACTACTACTACTACTACTACTACTACTACTACTACTACTACTACTACTACTACTACTACTACTACTACTACTACTACTACTACTACTACTACTACTACTACTACTACTACTACTACTACTACTACTACTACTACTACTACTACTACTACTACTACTACTACTACTACTACTACTACTACTACTACTACTACTACTACTACTACTACTGCTTTCACTCTTGCGAGTATGTACTGACGAACACTTTACTGGGGTGTA